CCGAGACAAGCGGCTTGCGGTGGCGGACTTGGTTTTTTTTGTTAGAAGGAGCGAACCTCTTGGCCTTTAGACATGTTCTGTGAGAAAGGTGTAACGCACATATAAGCTAACGACACGTAAGCCCAGGATGCCAGGGTCTGGAGCGCGGCGATCGCGTTAGGACTCGGCATGTCCCAGCGAATACTTAGTTGAAGGGGCAGACAGAAGCACAGTATTCTATAATTGAGTCTCATAGGATACTAACTAGAGAAGCTTCTGTACAGAAAACTAAAGAAAATAACCCCTAAATACTGATTGTGTATCACTTCCTTTCTTATAAAACACTCCTCTTACATATATTCAATTAAAAATATCTATACATGGATTCTGATTCTGCCAGTGGTGAACCAATTTGCTTCCCCTTCACAAATGGCTTTCCAACAGAAGTATCCAATTGAAAGTCTCACTTCTTTATCATTCAGTTCACTCTGGGCTGCGGTGAGGGTGTATTTCTTTTTTCTGTTTACTTACATATTCTCTCATGTAACACAAAAGGTAGGGAACTGGATATGGCCCTGTGTCTTTTACTGGTAGGGAGCCCACGGTGTGTCAGCCTGAACCGTCATTAAGTTGTTCAGTTCAATTTGAGGAACTGATTCTTGGCCTAATATCAACTGCCGTAGTCCACTCTAGAGAAATCCAGGCACACTTTTTAAGGTATCGTCTTACCAAACTGCTACGCTCTGTAAATATATTAAAAGCCCTGGACTATGCCAATCTTTGGGAAACATTCTCTATCTCTTGTTTTTGTGACACTCAATTCTCTTGATTTCTTTCCTATCTCCTTTGGCTCCTAATCTTCTAGCTGACCTTCAAGTAATTTTAAATACTCTGTCCTAGCAGAGAGTGCAAAATAGTGGGCGCAATCAATAATAACACATTTAGAATTTTAAATAAGAATTATGTTTTCTATATTCAAATATGGGAAAAGTTACAGAAAGCAAATTTCTAACTTCTCTTTTAAAAATGAAAGATCTTGGACCAAAGAGTAATAAGTATTGAGCTGAATGAATCAGCAGTTCGGCAGATAATGTGACATGTCGATTCATTCTCCCGGCCGCGCGAGTCAGCGTGAAATAGACGTGCGATCTTGTTATGACAGGCCGACTCATTATGACCACTACGCAGCACCGCGAAGAGCCTGCGACTGGCGGGTTGGAACGGCTCTGCATCTGTGCCGGTCTTGCTTGAAGCCATACTGTAAATATTATTATTTTGTTGTTTGTTTTATGAAGTCTAGGCCAGACCGACGTAAACGAAAACTCACCGATGTGACCACCCAGCACTTGGATGTCTGCACATACAGCTTGAAATTACAGACTTGTGTCTTTGGTCCCCCTACCACGTTCCTTTCCTCTGGGAACTTCCTCTCAAACGTAAATGGGAGGACATCATTTTCCAGTTTCCCATGCTGGCCCCTCTCCCGACTCTCTTCCCTCAATCGTTACCAGGAAGTCTCCAGTTGATTTTCCTTCTGGACAAACTACCTTGGATTTGGTCTTCATTCCTCATTTTCGCGGCATGCCCTAATTTGCGCAACTTCCATTCTTTGCCTAGCCCTGCCTTCCCTCATCTAATTACTCGAGTTCAGGGACTTCTCTAACTTAACTCCACTGCATACATCGTTCGATGTAAATGCAAATCAATTCTAGTTTGGTCAAGGATCTTCTCTACCTGTTTTTTGATGTCCAAGCCTCGTCGCATGTCCCTATCCCCATTCACTGATACTATCCAGCTATGCATTTGTTCTTTTCTGTTGACTGACACAGGCGGCGCCATACATCCTGTTTGCCTGTTGTTTGGGACGGCGCGGGCTACTCAGGCTCATTTGGCTCATGGTAGAGGAAGGTTTTCCTTGATGCTTCCAAGTCTAGGTCAGAGCTTCCAGTAATCTTCATCTTTTTTAAAACAACTTTGATCAACGTTGGGTAGTATATAAGGATGTGACAAGTGTCCTCTCTCGAAACACACACACACCTTACAATATAAAGGCATAAAAGAAGGAGTCCCTATCTGTTTGTTAACCAACACTTGGCGTTTGTGACAGTATGTAGTGTTGCTCAAGACTGCGTACATTTCCAACGGTATGACAGCTAACTGTTCGGGTAACTGGAGTTTCGGGTGATCAATGTCATTATTTCTGTCGTATGTAGGGGCTATTGATTGGGCAGTTCTGGTTCATTTAGTGATACAGTGTCGTAGAATGACCTTGAAATGCCAGGTTGTTTTACGGGCCTATGAAACAGCACAATACCTGTTACCTTTTTCTTTCCGTTTTCAATGTTCTTTCCGGCAAAGAAAATCTGGCGAAAGGCACTGACCTTTTCAGATTTTTTGAATGTTCAATTTTGGGAGCAATTGAACTGAAGGGGCTACAAATGCTGATTATTATCGTATTGAATCTCTCTGTTCATGCATGTCAAGTTAGTTCAGTATCTGCAAAATGGCAGTTCGTTTAAACACGTTCTAGGTGATTACCTATGCTCCAGCAGATGAAAACTATGAAGGTATCAACTACTGTATATTTTTTTAGGTGGTTTAAACGTTCCGCTCTTTGGGGGAAACAGAAGCTATGGATAGTTACCTGCACAGCTTTAGCTCTGAAAAAGTTTGCTATTAATTAAGACCTTTAATTAGCAATACAGGATATATAAA